GAAGATAGCTTGCCGCCGATTACCTCTGAGGAGGTCCTTGCGGCTGCCAAGTCTTTCCCCCCAGGCACGGGCCTGGGGTGGGATTCCTTTCGCCCCCAGCTCCTTCTTCAGGTCGCCCCCGCGCTCGTTCATGCCTTCGCTGATATCCTCACGGCCTGGGAACGGGGCCCCTCTGTGGGCCCGTTGTGGCTCGTCGTGGTTGTGTTTCTTGCGAAGCCGTCAGGGGGGGTCAGGCCTATCGGCCTCCTTCCCCTCTGGGCCCGAGTGTGGAGCAGGATTCGGCATGCCAGATGCGCGGCGTGGGAACGGGAGCAGGACGCGCCCTTTTTCTGGGGTTTGAGCACGTCCACTGCATGCGACAAGAGCGCATGGGTTCACAATGCTATGGCTGCATTTGCTCGGGAAGCTCGGGGTTTAGTTTCGGGTACTTTGTTCCTGGACCTTCGCAAATTCTACGCGCGTATCAGCCATGCTGAATTACTTGCGGCAGCTGAGCAGGTGGCCTTTCCGAAGGCCCTCTTGAGGGCCTATTGCACGGTTTACCGTTCCCCGAGGCGGGTGTCTTGGCAATGTGCGATTTCCAGAATCGTCTCGCCGAACGGCACCGTGATTGCTGGCTGTTCGGGGGCCACCTCGCTCGCTCGCCTGTTGCTCGCGTCGGTGCTGCGCAGAGTGGTACCGTCGTGCCCAACTGTTATCCTGAACAGTGTCATTGATGATATTTCTTTTCAGTCCATCGGAGGCCAGGCCACGGTGTGCACTGAGCTTTCGTCGGCGTTCAATCTTGTCACCCAGGACCTCCAGGCTAGGGGCCTCCCAAATGCCTGGAACAAGCTTGGGCTCTTGGCGTCGTCAGCCTCCCTGGCCAACCAGCTGGCCTCGAGCTGCCAGCTCCCTGAAGAGGCCAGGTCGTCTGTCCACCGCGACCTTGGATGGGGGCGCGACGGATGGTGCAAGGCGGCGGGTGTCGACCCACCAGGCCCGTTTCCTGGAGGCCCAGGCCAAGGTGGCCAAGGTCCTCAGCCTCCGCGAGGCTGGAGCCCCGACGGGTGGAATCTTTCGGGCGGGGGTCACCGCCAAGGCTCTCTGGGGGGCCAACATCCAGGGGCTGCCTGATGGAAAGCTGAAGAGTTTAAGAGTTGCGGCTGTCAAAGCCGAGGGGAGGCTGCCCAAGGGATCCTCGCTCGGATTGGCTTCGATGTGCACGCGTGGGGGTTGGCCGCGAGATCCCTTGGTGCAGGTCCCAGCTGGCGCGATCAAGACGTATGTTCAGATTCTAAAGGATGGCAGGCTGTCAGAGCACGTGCTTTCAGTTTTGTTTGCGAAGGCCCAGGAGGTCGCCCAGAGGCCGAAACCCTGGAGACTGGTCAAGGACCCTGTGTCCGCCCTGGTCTTAACCTGCCTGAGGATCGGGTTTGTCTTCCAGGGACCTTTCTCGGTGCAGGAGGCCCAGGGGCAGGTTTGGGACCTGACCCATGTCTCGGCCGCTTTCATGGCCAGGCGTGCGCGTTTTTCGGCGCGGAGGTTTTCGGACCTAGCGGCCTTGGGCAAAATCGGACCAGGCAAGGCCTGGCGCGCAGAACTTTTTTGGCGACCGCTGAACGAGCTGCTGCATAGAAGGATCGACGGGGAGGGCGAGGCTGTCGGGACGGGTGGTCCGTTGGGGGGTCAGAGAGCAGCGTGCGCTCCGAGGACTCCTCATGGGTTCCCATTGGTGCCAGCACAGGCTCAGCGAGCATGATCCTGAGCTGGCGTCAGAATGCCTGGTGTGTGGTGATCGAGGCACTTTGTTCCATCGCCACTTTCAGTGCCAGGCTAGGTCGGCCCGGCGCCGTGGCAATCTTCCCGTGTGTGTGCAGCGCGCAGCCATCAGAGTTTCGACTTGCAGTATCGAGCTGCAAGAGCGTTTTTCCAGAGGAATCCTTCCAGACCCGTGCCAGCTTTTGGCCAGGAAACCCTGGGATCCTTCCACGGAGTTTCGCGTTGACGGAGGCCTTGCTGGGCCGCTTGTGCTTTCCGAGGGGCATGTTTTCTGTGATGGTTCAGGCCTAGATGGACTGTTCCCGTCCATCCGTGTTGCTGGATGGGGAGTCACCGTCTTCGATGAGTGACGCAGGTGTATAGCGGAGTGGTATGGTTCTGTGCCCCCAGCCACCTTGCCTGATCAGGTGGCGCGTGACGGCGAGGACTATAGTGTTTTTATCGTCTCGAAGCTGTGCGCTGGCGATTTCACTCTGCTGCAAGGGAACGCTAGACTGTTGTAAAAATAGAGCGCGCTCGGTCTCCTCGGCCAACCCCATGGCCCACCTCTGGATTCAGTCTTGGGCGTCGGGAGGCCTTGAGGGGGCCAGGTTTAAGAAGGTTCCCGCTCGCGCCTCGGCCATGGATGTCAGAGACGGCCTCTTGTCAGATTTCGAGCGCACTGGTAACCATGGTGCTGATAGGCTGGCCAAGCTGGGGGCCTCGCTTGTCCAGCATGATGAATGTGACACCCTCCTGGCCAAGGGCTGCCTGTTCCTGGCCCGTGAGGTGTTGCAGTTTATAACGCGTGCGGAAGTCTACTGCAGTGAGCTGGGGGTCCACGACAATGTAGGTGCCCAGGGCCTGTCTTTGGTTTCCCTGGATCCCCCCTCGGACCACGACGCTCGGCTCGAGTGGGCTCGGGTCGAGGATGAGGCAGCTGCGCCTCCCCCTCGTGTGGAGGCCCCGGCGGTCCCTGACCCTGCGGCTGCCGCCTCGCTGGGGAGATTCCTGGATAGGGCGTCCGAAGGCACGCAGCCGTGGAAGGCGGGGGGCCACTGCCTGTTGGAGTTTCCTGTGGAGTCTTCGGAGGAGGGAGAGGATCACCCACCCCTCCTCTTTTGCTCCACCTGTGGCAGCTACGCAACGACAGTCACAGGTTCCAGGGGCTTGCATTCTGGATGCCAGGGCTCGGCTCACTCTTTGGTCGGCCCTGGTAAGAAGAACACGTCGAGTTTTTTAAAGCGCAAGCACCCGAATCGGGCGCGACGGCTGGGGCCCCCGAGATCTCCTGGGGCTCTGGCTCGCGAGCTTTTCGGTCCTCGGTTCCAGGTCGGAGGTTTGGGGTCCCAGCCGACGATTTGGACTTCGAGAGCCCAGCAGTCTTCGGGAACCGCCACTCTCTGCATGGCGGACTGTCTCCAGGCTTTCGGGCTGAATGTGGTGGTGGCCCGTGAGCTCGGACGAGAGTTCCGTGTCCGACAGGCTGCTGCTGTCGAACTCGACGAAGAGTTTTCCTAAGGGGGCCCTGTCGCTGGGCCACGGTGCGCAGCCTATGCCGAGCCGCACCGTGGTGACAAAAAGGTCCTCTCCGATGGGCCCCCTTAGGGTTTTTGGACCCGTCGGATTCTCTCTCTCTCTCTCTCTCCTTCCCCCCTCAGTGGCGTGCAATCCTCCTCCTCTTCCTCCTCCTCCTCGTCCCTTCTCCTCCTCCTCCTCGTCCCTCCTCCTCCTCGTCCTCCTCCTCCTCCTGCTCCTCCTCCTCGTCCGTTCGGGCCGAACGAGAGGGGGGGACTGGGAAAGGGTTGGGCTTCTTGTCGCAGGCTTCTTGTCGACGGCTTCTTGTGGGCTGGCCTCCACTGCAGTTGTCCGCCTGCATCCTTGCCCGATGGTCTCTCCATGCTGCCTTCGTTGTGCAACCCTCCCCGATCCCCTCCCTCCAGGGGCCGACTCTCGGGCCGGACGAAAGGGGGGGATTGGGAAAGGGGTGGTCACGAAATCTGCTGCATGCAGCCGGTTTCGGCCCCACCGAGGGGCCCATTCCTCGATACATGGCGGCCTCCGGCGCCAGGAGGCGCCGGGAAAATCAGCTGCGTGAGCTGATTCTCACCCCCCCTTTGCTATCCCCCCCTTTCGCCCGGCCCGAACCGTCAACGGTGTGGTGGCCACGCGCCACACCGCGTGGCGAGCTCGCTGTGGTGCGGTAGGTTCGTGCCGTGTCGACCGGCGGCGACCCCGCCAGCGGCGTCCCACGTGGAACGCCGCGGGCGACCCAGAATCGTTCGGTGTGGAACGATCTGGATGTCTCGGAAACGGCCGATCGTTCTAGGTTGAGCGATCCCCGCGGCGTCAGAAACCAGCGCCGAAGTCGGCACGACACGAGCCTGACGTATGGGTCCGTGCGGATCCGGATTTTTTCGGACGCTCTCGCTGATGTCTGTTTTTTTTCTCCTGCCTCGGGCTGCGCTCCGGCCCCTGCGCCTCGCCTTCCGGGCGTCCCGGGGGCCTGCCCAGAGCGTCCCCAACGGCCGCCGGGGTGCCGAGTTCGGGCCAGGAAGCCAAACGTTGGGAGGATGGCCAGCGTGGCGAGTCCGTGTGGGCCCCACCGCGCGCTTTTGACAGTCGGGGCGTGCTCCGAGTGTGCCTCGGCCCTCCAGGGCCTCCAGGGCCTCCAGGGCCGTGTGGTGATGGGCCGCGCGGTGCGGTCTTCTGGGGATTCCGAGGCCACCACTCAGGAGGGAAAAAAGCACACAGACACAATGAATCCTCCATTCCCCAGAAAATATAGGAAAGTATGGGAAGTGGGGGGGAAGACAAAAACAGAGAAAATATAGGAAAATATGGGGAATCCTGTTATTTGTGTCTATTTATTTGTGTGTCCCAGGGCCCCTGCAACCACGCGGTCCGTCGCCACGCCGCCCCGGGGCCCCCGAAGAGGCGTGGCTGGAGCAGCTGCAGCCGGCGGTGCGCTGCAGCCTGCAGCGGCCGCTCGCCGAGCTGCTGGCCGGCGGGCTGGGCCTGCGGGACGACGGGCTCTCGGGGGGGGAAGGGTCGAGGCGGGGATGTACATGTGTATGTGTGTACGTATGTCTGTCTGTATGTATGTACGTACGTACGTATGTAGATGTAGATGTAGATGTAGATGTAGATGTAGATGTAGATGTAGATGTAGATGTATATGTAGATGTAGATGTAGATGTGTATGTATATGTAGATGTAGGATGTAGATGTGTATGTAGATGTATATGGTCGAGGCGGGGATGCGTGCGCACGAGGCGTTCCAGGGGGGGCCTCGCCTTCGAGGGTCGAAGGGGCCGTCTGCTCTTCTTCGGCGGGAGGGCCAGCGGCCGGCGGCGGAAGGCCAGCGGCAGGCGGCGGTTCAGGGCTTCCAGAGCCCGCCACATCCACTGCTTGGATGATCGATGGTCGGATACCTCGACAGGCGGTGGATATGGATGTACATATGTATATGTGTACGTATGTATGTATGTATGTATGCATGCATGCATGCATGCACGTATGTATGTATGTATGGATGTATGTATGTATGTATGCATGCATGCATGCATGCATGTATGTATGTATGTATGTATGTATGTATGTATGCGTGTGTATGTATGTATGTCTATATGTATGTATGTATATGTCTATGTATGTATGGATGTAGGTACGTTCGTATGTATGTATGTATGTATGTATGTATGTACGTACGTACGTACGTACGTACGTACGTACGCATGTGTGTATATGTAGATGTGACACATATAATTTATATATGTATATGTATATGTACATGTCGATGTAGATGTATACTTACATGTATATGTAGATGTAGATGTATGATGTAGTATGCAGTATGTATAATGTAGCGTGTACATGTATGTGTATGCGTATGTGTATGTGTAGGTGTATGTGTAGGTTTAGGTGTGGGTGTATGTATGTATGCATGCATGCATGGATGGATGGATGGATGGATGGATGTATGTAGGTAGGTAGGTAGGTACGTATGTATGTATGCATGCATGCATGTATGCATGTTTGTAGGTATATATGCATGCATGTATGTATGTATGTATGCATGCATGCATGTATGTATGTATGCATGCATGCATGCATGTATATATAGATATATACATATATATGTATGTATGTATGTATGTATGTATGTATGTATGTATGTATGGGTGTGTATGCATGTATGTATGTGTGTGTATGTATGTATGTAGGTCTGTCTGTATGTATGTATGTGTGTATGCGTGTATCTATGTATGTATGCATACATGTATGTATGTGTGTATGTATGTATGAAATGTAATGTATTGCAATGTAGTGCAATGTAATGTAATGAAATGTATTGCACGGTAATTTATGTAATGACTGTATGTATCTATGCATGCATGTATGTATGTATGCGTGCATGCATGTAGGTATGTATGTATGCATGCATGCATGTGTGTGTGTGTATGTATGTATGTATGTATGTATGTATGTATGTATGTATGTATGTATGTATGTATGTATGTATGTATGTATGTATATATGCATGCATGCATGCATGCATGCATGCATGTATGTATGTATGTATGCATGTATGTATGTATGTATGTATGTATGCATATAGTACATATATATATAAAAATGTATATGCATGCATGTGTATACGCCTGTACGTATGACTGTATGTATGTATGTATGTATGTCTGCATGCATTTATGTATGCATGCATGCATGTATGTATGTATGTATGTATGTATATATATATATATATATATATATATATATAGAATCGGGCTCCCTGGGGCTCAATCTATCCACATCAACAGCCTGCTTGGGTTGCAGCACGCCGGTTCCACAGACGGTGGATATGGATATATCCCTGCCTCGCAGAAGCGGTACCGATACCGCTGCCCGTCCCTCGTTTTTGCTTTTTGTGGCCTCCTGGGAGGCCCTCATCGCCACGGCTGGGTTCTCCTTGAGATTCTTGCTGCTCCGCGTATCCCCGCCAGCCGGCGCTAATTTAGGCCGTCGCCTCTGTGCTTCGCCCCTTGACGCCGCCCGATCTTCTCGCCGCGGTCGCGATCAAAAAAGAGTCCCCGCCAGCCCATTCTAGACACGATGCCCAGCGAAGCTGCGCTGAACTCTGAAAGGTCTCTTGGGGCGTCCTGGGGCCTCTTGGGAGGCCTCTTGCAGCGTCTCGGGGGCCTCTGAGGGGTCTCTCGAGGCCTCTTGTGGGCCTCTCGTGGGCCTCTTGGGCGCCTCTGCGGGCTCCCTTGGTAGCGTTTCGGGCCGTCTTGGGGCCGTCTTGTAGGCAATCGATCCAAGAGGGGGGGCTCTCAGTGAGCACTGCCTCACCAGGAGGTCAACTCAGACAAATCGACGTTTTTAGCCTTCTGGCTGAGGCCGTCCTGGACGCTCTGACTACCTGCGAACGCCCCCATCCAGACCCAGGGGGAGGTAGGGGGAGTGGGAGAAGGGGGTAGGACGGAAGAGGAATCGCTCGAAACAACCTCAGCCCAGAGGACTGGTGGGATGTTGGTCAGAACGGAACTCAGGAAGGGTCCCGGGAGTAGCGGTAATTATCGGTACCTTTTTGTCCCCCCAGGCTCTTCCAGGAGAGCGCGCCCCTCCAGGTGCGGCGCGCGGCGGTGGAGGTCACGATCACGGCGGAGGTCGAGGAAATCCTCGCGCACGGGGAGCAGTGCCGTTCTTCCCTTCAGAGGCGCATGGGCGGGCGCGCGCGGGTGGGCGTGGGCGTGGGCGTGGGCGTGGGCGTGGGCGTAGGCGGGGGCGGATGCTCGCGGTGTGTGTGGTGTGTTGAAGCTCGCGCTGCGCGTGTGTGCGTGTGTGTGTGTGTGTGTGTGTGTGGTTTTTTTTTTGTTTTGTGTCTGTGTCTGTGTGTGGGTTGTGTTTTGTTGTTTGTTGTTTGTGTGTTGTGTTGTCTGCGTGCGTTGTGTGTGTGTGGTGTAGTGTCGTGTGTGCGTGTGTGGCGTTCGCGTGTGTGCGTGTGTGCGTGTGCTGCTCGGTGCGTGTGGCGTGTGTGTGCGTTTGTGTGGTGTGTGTGTGTGGTGTGCGTGTGAAGCGTGGGTGCGTGTGTGTGTGGTGTGCGTCTGTGCGGTTTGCGTGTAGTGCGTGTGTGCGGTGGTCTTTGGGTGTGTGTGTTTTGTTGTGTGTTTGCGTGTGTGTGTGTGTGTGTGTGTGTGCGTGTGTGTGTGTGTGTTGCGTGTTGTTGTGTGTGTGCGCGTGTGTGTGTGTGTGTGCGTGTGTGCGTGTGGTGCGTGTGTGTGTGTTGTGTGTGTGTGTGGTGTGGTTGTGTATTGTGCGTTGCGTGTGGGTGTGTGTGTGTGTGTGCGTGTGTTGTGTGTGTGTGTGTTTGGTGTGTGTGTTGTGTGTTGTCGTGTGTGTGTGTGTGTGTGGTGTGTTGTGTGCGGGTGCGTGTGCGTGTGTGTGTGTGTGTGGTGTGTGGTGTGTGTGTGTGTGTGTGGTGTGTGTGTTTGTTGCTTTGCGTGCGTGCGTGCGTGGCGTGCGTGCGGCGTGCGTGCGTGCGTGCGTGCTGTGTGTGTATGTACGTGTGTGTGTGTGTGTGTGTGTTTGTGCATGTGTTTGTGTTTGTGTTTGTGTTCGTGTTCGTGTTTGTGTGTGTGTGTGTGTGCGCATGTGTGTGCATGTGTGTGTGGGTGTGTGGAGAGTGTGTGCGCGTGTGTGCATGTGTGTGTGCATGTGTGTGCATGTGTGTGTGTGTGTCTGTGTGTATGGAGAGAGAGTGTGTGTGTGTGTGTGTGTGTGTGTGCGCGTGTGTGTGTGTGTGTGGTCTCCTGTCTGTGGCGGGCGGGCGCGCGCGTGTGTGTGTGTGTGTGTGTGTTTGTATGTGTAGAGACTGTGTCTGTGTGTGTGTGTGGGTTTGTGTGTTCTCCTGTGAATGAGTGTGTGTGTATGTATTATTCCCCACTCCCCCTTCGTCTTTTCTCGTCTTTCCCCCCTCCTCTGGCGGCGAGGTTCATGGGCCAGCTGATGAGGGCGGTCGAGGAGTCCTACGAGCCCTGGTTGAGGGCCTGCGCCGTGGCAGGCACACGCCCCCAGGAGGACGAGGGCGATGGCAGCGAGGCGGAAGACGAGGACCGGCTCAGGGCAAAAGGGCCCACCGGTACCAGACTGCGGCGCTTTGGAAGGGCTTCCAGGGGCCACGCTCGAGGAGGTCGGGCTCAGGGGGGGGATGCCCCGACCCCTAGCGAATCGCCCATTCATCGCCAACAGGGGCCTGCTGGCCCACCCCGCCAAGGAGCGTGCGGGTTCGCCTCTCGGCGGCCCATCGGCGGTGTAGCGGCGACGCTGCATCGCCGCTTCCAGCTTGATGTTTCCCCCCCCGAGCCCGTCCCCCCACAACGCTGCCCCTCATTCTGGCATGGCCTGCCTCCCCCTCCTCGCCGCTGGCAGCCCTGCCATCGCGCGTGGGACCCGCGTGCTGCGTGGGCACGTCGAGGTGCGCACAGGCGCTGCTGCCGAGCCCAGCCACGAGGTCGTGGTGCGTGCGAGCGCTCTGGCGTTGCCGGGCGGCGTTGCTAGGGCGTCGCGTTATGCTTCAATCGGGCATGTCCCTCTACAGGGGGAATATACAAAAATAGTCAAACAATAGGATGGGGACGATTTTTGACTATTTTGGACAATTGAGCATTTCTTGATTATTTTTACGCCTGTAGGGGGACATGCCCGACCTAACGTTATGCCCCCCTCCGCCCCCCCCCTCCTCGGCGGAAGTTGGTCAGCCCATCTTGTCGGTCCGCGGGCTCCCCTGAGCTCGCCGCGCCGCGGAATTGTTACTCAAGACCGGCTTTCTCTCTGGGCACTGTCTCTGTGTGGTGTGTCGGTAGACAAGAAAAGTATGGGTTGACTGTATCTTTCGAGGACCTGGAGGGCGACGAGGCGCCCGAGGGCGACGAGGACCGCTGCCCCGCGCACCGCAAAAGGGGCGCCGCCGCCGCCGCGGGGGCCGCCCGATGTCACAGGCGGTTGTTCGCCCCCCTCCTACCCTTCCTCCTCCTTCTCCTCCTTTTCCTCCTCCTCCTCCTCCTCCTCATGCTCCTCCTCCTTCTCCTCCTCCTCCTACTCCTCCTCCTCCTCTCCCTCCTCCCCCTCCTTCTCCTCCTCCTCCTCCTCCCGCTTTTCCTCCTCCTCCTCCTCCTCCTCCTCCTCCTCCTCCTCCTCCCCATCATCAGGTGCCGATCCCCCAGGTTGCCCCCGACGAATCAGGCCGCTGATAAAAGAAGGGAGAGTCGGGGATACACCTTCAGGGGGCTATTTAGCCAGGCCTCCTAGATGGGGTTCGATTAGATGGGGTCGGAGGATCGCGCGTCATCGCCGATGCATCGGCCATGCGGCTCGATGTGCAGCCCGAGTTTCTCCACGCCGTTGCATCGCCGTTGCATCCCCGATGCATTGGCGATGCGGCGCGGCGCGATCCTCCGACCCCATCTACTTCAACCCCATCTAGGAGGCCTCTAGTCGGAGATGCAATTTCAGGGGCCATTCGGGCGCACCCCTGTCGATCATAGACGCCCCACACTCATCGAATATCCCAGGGTGGGGCCCCAAGTTTTTGTTGCAGGCGAGAACCCTCCAACATCGGGGATTTGGGCCGCTATATCCCCCGTTGCGATGCTCGTCGGCTCGGTGCGACCGAAGTGTCTATGGAGACGTCGGGCGTCTCGACTGAATCGGGGTGGAGCTCTTTCCTCGTTCTCGGCCTCTGGGGGCCCTTACCCGGCCTCGGGGCCTCAAAAAATGACTCGGGATGACACACTGGTCCTGAGGAAGTGGTCTAGAGGTCGGGGGCCCGTGTCTCGAGACGCCAGATGTCGGGGTACGGAGAAAATGGAGACGAATACCAACATCAGTTGGGGCCGGCTGGGGGTCTGAGGTGGCCCAGCGCTGGTTCGGGACAGCCGGAGGCGGTTCGAGGTTCTGGGGTGGAGTAGGTTTTGTTTTCGAATTTCCATGTCTAAGTAATACATATTGTTGATCCCCCCTTCGATGCCCATTGTGTTTTTTAATTGAAGTGCTCTTACTGGAGCTCGCACCTTTTTTTGACACGGGCAGTCTTGCGCCTCAGATTGGGTTGTTGGATTCCGAACTGCAGCGAACAGGGCTCCCGCCTGGTGCTCTCGCGCGGGACTTCTTCATGATGTATCCAGGAGTTGCGCTCTCGCGTGGTACTTCCTCATCGTTTATTGCGGCGCCGTGCCCCCAACACTCAGGAATCACGCTCTCGCTCTGGATTTCCTGACTTACTTGGGAATCGCGCTATCGCTCGAAACTTCCTTGCGATCCATGTTGGATTGACGCTTCAGCGACCCGCCAGCACGACCCGGCCGTCTGGGCCCCGCCCGTCCGACCTGCCCGACAGGGTCCGCCCGCCCGACCCGCCCGTATTGTTTTGCCGCGCGTATTACTGCTCCTAACCCCCTCCTGCAAATCTCTCTCTCTCGTGTTACATCTTTGTTTCTCCCTCTTGTCTCTTCCCTCCTCCCTTCCTTCCCTGTCTTAGGGATTGTGCCAACCACGCGTGGCAGGTAAGAGGTAAGGAATATATGGTCCAGGGCTTGCCCCCCCCCACCTCCCCAATCGCTGATGCATTGGCCCCCCCCGCGCGATGGTCCCCCCCGCCCCCCCCTGTGGGGGTGGCGTGGTGCTGCGCTGCGGTTCCCCCCTCCCCCCCCCCCTGTGGATGTGGTGTGGTGCTGTGGTGGTTCAGAGGTGGGCGTGGCGTGGTGCTGCGCTGCGGTGCCCCCCTCCCCCCCCTGTGGATGTGGTGTGGTGCTGTGGTGGTTCAGAGGTCGTCGTCGTCGTCGTCGTCGTCGTCGTCGTCCTCGTCGTCCTCGTCGTCCTCGTCGTCGTCATCGTCGTCGTCGTCGTCGTCATCGTCGTCGTCGCCGTCGTCACCGTCGTCATCGTCGTCGTCGCCGCCCCCGCCGCCGGCGTCGTCGCCGCCGCCGCCGCAGCCGTCGTCGTCGTCGTCGTGGTCGTCGTCGTCGTCTCCATCGTCGTAGTCGTCGCCGTCGTCGTCGTCGTCGTCGTCGTCGTCGTCGTCGTCGTCGTCATCCCTGGGACCATACCATCGGGGGGGGGGGCCCGAGGAATCCTGGGACCATACCATCTGGGGGGGGGGCCCGTGGGCCCAGAGCCCGGGACCATCTATGCCCCCAAGGGGGGTACGATTGAAGACGAAGAGGGCGGGTATCGAGGTCCTGGGATACACATGCTGAGGGACACGCGAGTTAATAAGGACGAACAGTCTTAAAGTGCATCTTGTTGGTGCTTTTGTCGTTGTTGTTGTTGTTGTTGTTGTTGTTGTTGTTGTTGTTGTTTTTGATGTTGTTGTTGTTGTTGTTGTTGTTGTTGTTGTTGTTGTTGTTGTTGTTGTTGTTGTTGTTGTAGTTGTTGTGTTGTGTTGTTGTTGTTGTTGTTGTTGTTGTTGTTGTTGTTGTTGAATTTCATTTCTAAAGAATATTTGTTTTTGATCCCCCTGGCGACCATTGCATTTTTTAGTTGAAGTGCTCCTTCTGGGGCGCGCACCCGGTTTGTTACAATGGAAAGCTGGGTATCACCAAATTGGGTTGTTGGGCCCCGAACTACAAAAATTATCCTGGCGAAGGACCCAACCATATGCAATTGTGAGTACCGCAATTGTGAATATCTTCTTTGGTGGCGCTCCCTATGGGGCCACGAAACGTGTGAGGGGTGTGCCGAAATGGGTGTGCGGGACGCATGCGGGCACACCCACTGGGACCTTTCGGTGGAGCTCCCCATGGGGCCACGAAACGTGTGAGGGGTGTGCCGAAATGGGTGTGCGGGACGCGGTGGAGCTCCCTATGGGGCCACGAAGCGTGCGAGGGGTGTGCCGAATTGGGTGTGCGGGACGCATGCGGGCACACCCACTGAGGCCTTCGGTGGAGCTCCCTATGGGACCACGAAACGTGTGAGGGGTCACGAAACGCGTGAGGGGTGTGCCGAAATGGGTGTGCGGGACGCATGCGGGCACACCCAGTGGGGCCTTCGGTGGAGCTCCCTATGGAGCCACGAAGCGTGTGAAGAGTATGCCGACATGGGAGTGCGGGACGCATGCGGGCACACCCACTCGGTCCTTCGGCGGAGCTCCCTATGGGGCCACGAAAAGCGTGAGGGGTGTGCCGAATTGGGTGTGCGTGACGCATGCGGGCGGCAGCACTGGGGCCTTCGGCGGAGCTCCCTATGGGGCCACGAAACGTGTGAGGGGTGTGCCGAAATGAATGTGCGGGACGCATGCGGGCACACCCACCGGGACCTTCGGTGGAGCTCCCTTTGAGGCCACGAAACGTGTGAGGGGTGTGCCGAATTGGGTGTGCGTGACGCATGCGGGCGGCAGCACTGGGGCCTTCGGTGGAGCTCCCTATGGGGCCACGAAACGTGTGAGGGGTGTGCCGAACTGGGTGTGCGTGACGCATGCGGGCGGCAGCACTGGGGCCTTCGGCGGAGCTCCCTATGGGGCCACGAAGCGTGTGAGGGGTGTGCCGAATTGGGTGTGCGTGACGCATGCGGGCGGCAGCACTGGGGCCTTCGGCGGAGCTCCCTATGGGGCCACGAAACGTGTGAGGGGTGTGCCGAATGGCAGGAGGGAGGGGGCAGCGGGGCGGCAGCACTGGGGCCTTCGGCGGAGGTCCCTATGGGGGCCACCGAAACGTGTGAGGGGTGTGCCGAAATGAATGTGCGGGACGCATGCGGGCGGCAGCACTGGGGCCTTCGGCGGAGCTCCCTTTGGGGCCACGAAACGTGTGAGGGTGTGCCGAATTGGGTGTGCGTGACGCATGCGGGCGGCAGCACTGGGGCCTTCGGCGGAGCTCCCTATGGGACCACGAAACGTGTGAGGGGTGTGCCGAATTGGGCGTGCGTGACGCATGCGGGCGGCAGCACTGAGGCCTTCGGCGGAGCTCCCTATGGGGCCACGACGCGTGTGAGGGGTGTGCCGAATTGGGTGTGCGTGACGCATGCGGGCGGCAGAACTGGGGCCTTCGGCGGAGCTCGCTATGGGGCCACGAAACGTGTGAGGGGTGTGCCGAATTGGGCGTGCGTGAGGCATGCGGGCGGCAGCACTGGGGCCTTCGGCGGAGCTCCCTATGGGGCCACGAAACGTGTGAGGGGTGTGCCGAATTGGGTGTGCGTGACGCATGCGGGCGGCAGCACTGGGGCCTTCGGCGGAGCTCCCTATGGAGCTACGAAGCGCTGTACTGGGTGGGTGAAACGCAGGGAAGAGGGGGAGGAGGAGGGAGGAGGAGAGGAGGAGGAGGAGAGGAGGAGAGGAGACGCGGGCCACCGTCTCTTCAAAACGGAGGACCCAACACCACAGGATGGTTGGGAACAACAACGACGGTTCCCTCTGTGCTTAGGGGGACACCGCGCTCTCGCGCGGGATTTTCTTACAATTTAGAAAGGAATCGCGCTCTCGCCTGGGACGTCCTCGCAATTTATTCAAACGCTGCGCTTGCGGCTACAACGGCAACGGCTTCCGCCTGATTGTTCTTCACAAATGATTTCAACATCGCGTTCTCGCGCGGGACTTGTTCATAATGTATGCAGGAATCCCGCTCTCGCGTGGAGCCTCCTCGCAGATGATTATGACGCCGCGCTCTCGATACTAAGGAACCACGTTCTCGCTTTGGCCTTTCTCTCGATTCACTGGGGAATCGCGCTATAGCCCAAGACTCCTTCGCGATTCGTGCAGAGCGCACGCTTCAGCAACCCGCCTGCTCGACCTGGCCGCCTGGGCCCGCCTTTCCGACCGGCCTACTAGAGTCTGCCCGCCAGATCTGCCCGTGTGGTTGTGCCACATGTTTTCTGCTCCTAGCCCCCCTCCTGCTAATTTCTCGCGTGCTCCATCCTTCTCCCTCCCCCTTCCATCCGTTCTATCT